TCGTCTGCACCAGTGACACTTTAATTGTCTTTGTCGATACTGTAGCAGAAAGAAGACAAATGAAAGAAGCATGTTGCCGTGTGTCTTCATTTGAGAAGGATGCAAAGAAATAACAATAAATAAATGGATATGAGGGAGCGAATACCGAAAATGTATTGTTGTGTGACACGTGGAAGTCGTAATATTTGGCTTGTGATAAAATTTGCTGATTCATTATTAGTCATTGTGTCTTAAGGGGTTGAAAAGGTTCCAAAAGTGACTGTTGTTAATATCACAAAAAGATTCTGACTGAAACAGTCTTTGTAAACGTAAAGAAGAAACTGCATCTGGATGGAACGGATACATCCTTAAAGAAATTCGTTAATTGTTTTTATCTGTTAATAGAGATAGAATTCATACATATTTATTACGAAGGAATATATATCGAATATTATTCAAATATAAAATTCTTCTGATTAATTATAGAATTATAATGAAAATCTGCAAATAGAATAGTCTTTTAAAAAAAAAAAACTACAATTAAACAGATCAAACTTGGAAGACGAACGATTGAACGATTCAAAACACGTTGCATCAATCTTTGAAACGAAACGAAAAGAATTCAGATGCAAACTGTTTCGATTTAAAAAAAAAAACTCGAACGAAAATCAAACGTTCCAAGGAGAACGATTCGAAGAAAAACAAAAGTATCTCGAGTTTAAAAAATATCCCGCAAAAAACACGAGGAGAGTTGCTTGTATTGGCAGTGCCGGTGTATCACTTTTATATCGTCCTCGTTGACTTCCTTCCTCGCGGGGTGAAAGCGAGGAGGAAAAGAAGAAGGGAGAAGCGGAAGAAGGGCTGCAAGAGCCTCGAAACCCCGAGATACAACCAATTCGCAAGCAATTCTCGCCTCGCCTCGGGCGGTCCACGAAGACGAGCTGGCCGCTCGAGAGCGACAAGGAGAGAAAGAGGTGTGGAGAGTGGAGAAAGAAAGGAGAGAGGATGAACGAAGGGGCTGAAGAACCATCGTTGGAAAAAGCTTGGCCACGAACGAGAATTAATATTCCAGACAAACGTGACAGATAGATCAAATCTGCATCTCACCGGGAACACCGGTGTCAATTTCGACGGATTATCGCTGCTTGTCTCGATTCCTCCTCTTCATCCCCCATGCCATCCCCGTAACGTCACTCTCATCCTTTCCTCTTCTTGTTACCCGGAAGACAGCCCCGCGAAGAGAATTTTTTTCATTATTGGTTCAAGAGTTGCTTGTGTTTATATCACAGTTTCGTGGAAATATTTATATTAGTTTCGACAAAATGACAAATGCCTCTCAGTACAATCGTATTGAATCCTGAATAGGAAAATTTCTTGGCTATAAAAACATTTCGTTTCGATGCAGTCCTAAAGAAACTAAGATAAGATATTATTCCAAAGTCTTTGGAAGATTTAATATCATTAACGTGGATTTCTCTTGCTGCATAGAAATATATTAATTGACCGATCCTATAAGAATCTCCATCCAAAATTTACTCGCACGAGAGGAAAACAAAAAAGGAAAATCTTGGCAAAAAATATCCAACGTCTCACCCACTTATTCCAATCCGAGAGATCTCATTCCGAAAGAACGCAGATGTTGACGAGGATAAAAGACAGATCATCGAGAGGATTCCACTTCCGCTTCGGCACATATCGATCGTCTACATTCGATCTACACTCTACCTTACCTGAAGACACAAACAATGAATGAACCATACTCGAAACCGTGATACGTGCGTGCACGACGCACACACACGCGCGCGCACACATTCGAACTTTGCGTACGTGTGTATGTGGCAAGGATCCATCACACGTATTTATATGCTCGCGTGCGTGCTCGTGCAGCGATGGCTCGTGCGGACCACGTGGCCAAACAATAGGACGATTCTAATTGGGATTTTGAACGTGGCCGGTCGATAACAAAAAAGTGGACAAAAAAGGCGACGAAAGGGGCTTATCCGGAGGACAAGCCTCGACGTGGTGGAATCGAGGGACGAGCACCAGCGGATTTTCTCTCGGTTGGCCAGGATGGGGTTAACTCTGTTTCGGTGCTACCTAGCAGGGAGAAAGGGAGCTCAGCCGAGTTTCACGGACCGTGATGAAATTTTAAAGAGACACAACGGTGAACTCGCGCCGGATCAACAAGCTGTTACGTAATTATGATCGTTTGCATTAATCAACCGGCACTCGCTGCGGTTTGCTCGCGATCAGCAGGATCGACGACCCTTCGAGTGTGAAAAATCTTTGAGCGGGGAGGAAGGATGAAGCGATGGAACGGATTAATTCGTGGGTAGAGTTCTAAAAATTCGTTTTGAACGAATTCGATTACAATTAAATGATTGCGTGAAAATGATTTTACGCAAGATTGAATATTTAAGTGGTAATTACGATGTAAAAATCGAGTGTGAAGATGCTTGAATCGGATTTTAAAAGTATTTGATACATCATTTGTACATTGAATGATATCTAACACGTGACAATCACAGTTATTCATCAAAATGATTAATTTGATTAACTAATTTCATCGATATATTTCATTTTTCGAATTAAAAATTAAAGAAGAAAAGCGAATATAGAGACTGTCTATCTGAAAATATACGTAAAAGAGGATCGATACGTTAATAATCACTCTGATCGATCCAAAACCTCTTTCAGCCTTCTATAATTATCGTTTTTCGAACGGGACACAATTGATGGAAGGTTTCCTAGAACGGATCATTTCGAGAGAGCGTGATAATATTTGCAAAAGCGAAAACACGTTAATTGTAAGAAGAAGAAAGGAGGAACGACTCTTATTGAATACCGTCACCGATTCCTCTGTTCCACCCCCCTCCTCTCTCTCTTTCTCTCCGTGATGCAAAACAGTCGGCCGTGGTAATTTGCACAAGTAAGCACCGAGTTAAGAATCTCAAAGGCTGTGCTTTCAATTCATCAGGGGCGTCGGGTCGCATGAATTTCGTTAGAGGTCGTAGCCAAGTTTGAAGTTAATCGGGGTAAACTTGGTGTCGATTCGTATTCACGAGTGGACGTGAAAATAACGGAGATTAAAATCATCCATTTAAATCATATTCCTTATCGTCATCGAATTAATTAAATGCCATGTAATCGCCATGAATTGATTATTCCAAAAGAATAAAGGAAAAATTTTTAAAAATATACATACACACGGAAATTTAGAGCTTTCAATGAACCGTACAAGTTCCATCTGTCTGCAAAACATCCCTCTGAAAAAGCTTCACACTTAACGTAGTTTCCGCGCGAGCACTCGAGACTGGAATCGATCGAAAGTTATGAAAATAAAATTAATTACGACTTTTCATCACTTGGACCAACAATCGAAAAACCAGCGTGGACATTCGCACGTTAAACTTTTCGACAATGTGGCGTTCGATAAAAAAGAGAGAAAGAGAGAGAGAGAGGAGGGAGGATAGGATATGGGGGCAGGTTCACCCCAATCCCCGAGCGGGCTCTTTAAATTCAAAAATCGAATCTACCGCGGTATTGTCCGTGCCCGTTGAACCACGATCGACATCACATGGCAGCCTGTAACTGTACTTTAAAACTGCTCCCTTTCTTTCTTTCTTTCTCACCCCCTCTCGAACGGCGAATCTGAAACCAGAATTTTTGCCGCGCAGATGACACGTTCAATGAATGTGAAACGATGAATTGTCGACTCGATTTTTTTTTTTTTTCTTTTAAATCGATACGAATAGTTTCGATGAATTTAAAAAAAAAAGTGGAAAATGGATACTTGGAATTATAGAAATTTTGAGGAAATTGAATGTAAATATAAAAATTAATGTTTCTTAAGTTAACATCTGGATTATTTTATTCCAGAAATAAAATTTCAGAGATATACATATATATATGGAATCGATACATTTGTGGATATAAAAATAAGTAGTGATATTTTGAAAAGTTTGAACTTTTTACTAAAAAAAAAAAAAAAATAAGCAATTTTCTTGTTTTATCGTACGGATATCATACGGACAAGAGAAACTTCGAGTTATTCGCTCTCTTATTTTCCTGTCGAAAATCCCGTCTCGGAAGCTGTATGGAGTACGAAAGTTGTGGGGAGCATTTGTTGCCGGAACACTCGCGTTTTATTTATAGAGGCTACCTTGACTCGGTAGACCCAGCGCAGAACTCAAAGCGAGATATGCGAAAACATCGCAAAGCATCTTTAGCAACATGTGCATTGGCGAGTTGTTCAAGATTCTCTCGATATCGTGAGCCAATGCCAGCTTAACTTTTGTTCCACAAACATTTCTGATAATTTCAAATTGTAAACGCATGGAAGATGTAAAAATTTAAACATCAATTTAAACAACAAACGAAATCATCGATATCTTTCTTTCTACTTTATTAAGATTGAATTTATTTTACAATTATATATAAAATAGAATGGAAGAAAAGGAGATGAAGAAAAGAAATTCAAATTTGTCGTGATTTAAGTGATATGTGGAAACCAACAAGAATAAAGCAACTTTGTTGTTTCAGACAAATAAACAGGATAATATAAAGCATGAAATTACGTATTGTTTGTTTAAACACATCTAAAACGAAAAATTATAATAGATTTAAAGAATATATTTCTGTGTAAGAATCAATGATTTTTTAAAATTAGAATAACGAAATTAGATAATTTTAACGAAATATAACGATGTTTCAAAACTTGCTTTACATTCAACAAACGAAAATTCAACAGCATTAGACAAGAATTAACATTTCTCCAATTGAAGGAAATTATTAACTCGACGAGGAAAGAGGTAATCGACACCCAATCTACAGAGCTTCGTTCCAATTACGAAATTAAGTTTCGACTGTGTGCTAATTAAAAATCATTTTCGTAAATCTCGAATTGAGATGCTCAACTTGCCAACTTCCTCTTCATCTACGTTCATTCTCAGATTGTACAGCTACCAATTTGCCACGTAATAGACGCCACAAACAACTATATAATCAAATAACGCACTCACCAGAATTGACCGTGTTGGTGTCCGCGTCGACAGACTCGGTCTTCTGTTTCTTCGGCAGGTCCTCCTTGTCTTCGTTCGAGGCTTCCGTTCGTCTCTTAGGTGTCGAGCTCGCGCTGGCTTTCAGCTCGATCGGGCTTCCAGCATCCGGGCCGGAGCCCTGAGGCGTCGGAGGGCTCTCCAATCTGCCACCACCTCTCTTGTTAATGGGTGCCGAGATGCTGGGCACCGAGTTCAGCTTCGAGTCTTGGTCGACGGTCTTCAGGGCGAGCGCGTCCTCCGGATCGGAGTCTTCCGGCGCCGCGGTTGCTGGTGGACTGTGGCAACCTTGAAGAGTGATCCGACAATGGTTCACCTTGTGCTCGATGAACCGAACGATCTCGCCAAGGGGGTAGGACACCCTGCACGCCCCGCATTGGACGGTGTCTGGGGATGTGGTGCCTTGCGAGGTTTCCGCTGCAAAATTCGACAATTCGATTTTCTCTTTAATCTGCTCGTTAGGAGGAGGGATTGAAACAATGGAACGGATATTTTGATCGGTCGATACATTCGCGTGTAATTCACTTTGGTGGAATGGAAGGATAACGTTTATGTACGAAATTAGTTATGATGGAGATTCATTTTTTGTTATCGAGCTTTAGCGTTTGTTTTGTTCTGTAGAAATAGATTGTGCAGAGAGTTCTTCGGAGAGGAATGTGTTAATATTCTTGTAGGTATATGATAAGAGAAATAATTATACATTATTTTTTGTGTAGTTAATCGAGTAAAGGAAAATATTAAAGTTTAGGAAAAGTTTTTAATAGTAATCAAGATCGGGATTATAATATTGCAATTGTTTTAATAGAATTTAGTAGATATATTACGTATCAATTTCATACTCGCGTGAAAAAGTGAAATTTAAGGTGCACTTTTAAATTTTAATAATGCATTATAGGTTGATTTTAGAAAAATTTTCTCCTAGGGTCTCTTTGCACTAAAAGTGTCCAGTTTTACGCGTCCCGCATAAAGTCCCACACGTGTTCCCATGAAACTAAACAGAAAACCCTCTTAAGAATTCGCCCAAAGCTGCAGACACTTTAGATAAAAGGACACTTGAAGTTCTTTCTTCTTGAACCTTGTGTTTCAGACCACCCAAGAAATTTCACTATCTTGCAATATTTTATCGTGTCATTTTAAATTTCCACTTTTTTGGATGAAAACTTTGTTTGTTCCGCTACATTTGCTTTAAAATGGCGGAAATTTAATCCCTCTGTTAAAGCGTGAAACGGAATTCTGGCTCGATTTTAGAATTGAAATTATGAGGGAAGCATTCATCGATTGCTAAATAAAAATCTGTTTTTTCATTGTTCAAAAATTGCTTGTTTCATCAGACTCCGCTTAACTAAACTATAAACTCTAGCAATGATTTCCAATTCATCTTTGAAATAATCAAAGAAACAAATTTTACAAATACTCAAAATGAATTTCAAAAAATCATCCTTCCAAAATTCTCCAAAAAGGGAAACAACCCAATCCCCTCCAACGTATATATTTCACTTCTAATTACAACCATAAATATTCCCCAAGCGAAAATATGATCCACGTTTCATAATTAAATCGCGTTCACGCGCGAGCCTCGATTTTCAAGCGGGACAAACACGTTGGTTTGGGGGTAAATTTGGTTAGGCCGTGGGCAGGGAGGGAGAAAACGCGAGCCGCTGATATAGAGATCTAATTTCCTTCTCGAGTCTTATAATTCACGGTGGTTCGAGGGGCTAAGGTCCCGGGGTCAGCCGCAGACGTAACAATTCACTTTTAAGTGTCCTCGAGCAGACCTCCTGGCAGCATTCCTCGCGGCTCTTCCCTCTGCTTATGCCTCGCTCCATTAACATAGAGATTGGCAGGAGTTTCATGCATCGATCTCTCCCTCGACGGAGTCAAGTATCCATATCCATCCGGATAGAGATGGATGGCCGAGCCGCCGTAAGAATAAGAAAACCCCCTCGCGGACGTTGATCTAACCATTTCCTTTGTCCCTTTCGTTTCTTTCTTTATTTCATTTCATTATGAATCTTACGAAGATTGGAAATTTTGTTGTCTGGAAGATTAGAATGTTGTGCTCGATCGAATTTTCCAGTGGATTTTTGGATAGGACTTTGGATATTTTTCTGATTGTTCTTTCCTTTCTTTTTCAGGTGCGCGGACACCGTTCGATTCTTTCGGGGCGGAGCTCTCCAGTTGACCACTGGCCAGCGCGCAAACTCGCTACTGATGACCTCGGCGTGTAAAATGAGTGAACGTGCTGGGTGGTTGCTTGGTTGAAACGTTCGACAGTATGTTCGAAACGATTCTTTTGTAATTTTTCATTTGTCAAACTTAAAAGACTAAGCCAAGGATATACATGACATACATTTAAAATTATCTCGATCCCTTTCAATATATAGATAGACTCAAAAAGAACATATAAAACTCAACGAGAAATAATACTTAATAAAAAGAAAAAATTTACGAGAATAACGAAGAGAAACTACTAAAGGATCACACGTTTGAAGAAATTATCTCAATTCCAACAACCATGGAATGTTTTTTTCAAAAAACAGAAATACGCCAGATTCAAAAAAAGAGATATCCTCGAAAGAAACAGCTACAACAAGAACAACGAAAAAAAAAAAAAAAAGAAGAAGAAAGAAAAAAATTCTCAAAGGCAACAGAAGAATTAATCCAAAGATACTCTATATACACGGAACAATTATCTCGATCCGAAACCTTCAACGGTGGACAAACTCAAAGAGCAAACGGTGCACAGGACTCGACAAGGGAGACTCTCGAAAGAAACACCACGAGGAAGACGAGGAGGGATCGAGGAGAAGAGACAGGAGAGCAAGACAGAGAGAGAGAGAAAGAGAATAGGGCCTGAATGGACTCTCTGGGTCCGTTATTCGCCTACGATTGAAAAGCGCTCGGTTAGAAACAAGAGACGCGCGACCGGTCGTTAACGACAATAGGCTTTTGTTTTTTCGGGGGCAGATGTTGGACCAAAAACTCGGTGGCGACGGGTAACCCCCGGTTACGAGGAAGAGACACAGGGCTGCGCAGTACCCAACCCCTCTGGCGTTTCTGCCTTGATGGACCACGAGGAGGATCGCGAAGGAGGACCTCGACACGTGTCCGCTTCGCCACTCTCTTTGGTGAATCTTCCTCGTGCGCGCACGCGCTTGTAACCTGTCCGCAAAACCGGTCTGAACGAGAGATACGTACGAGTGACGTACTCTGTCGTCGGCTGTTTATTCATTTAAAGGCATCTCGCGAGTGGAACGTGCCGGGAGGAATTGCACGAGCGAGTGAAATTGTACGCGAGATCTTGAAGGGGGTTTCTCGTGGGGGTTGCAAGAATCGAGATGGGGAAAGTTTAATAGGTTTTTTGAAGAATTCATAGCGGTTTTCTCTCTCTCTCTCTTTTTTTTTTATTGTCATTTTTCTTAGTCAAATGAAAGAAAATATGGAGGAAATATTTTTAACAATTTATGAGAGTAGGATGATCTATGAATGCGAGAAAGAAGATTATGGATCTTTGAGTGGATCGATTAAATATTTCTATAGGAATAGAAAATTAGGTAATCTATATTTAGGTTTTCTTTTTTTTTTTTTTTTGTAGAATGTGAGGATCGATTATTTGATAACATTGAAATTAACATTGAAGATGGATGGACGTTGAAAGTGGTTCTTTTTCTGTAAAGAAGAAGAGTTTAAATTGATTTAACGAATTGTTTGTTGAAAAATACGAATGCCTCGCTGATCTTCAGTGGAATTCATTTAAATGAATAATGTTAATATAAATATAAACGATAAAAGTAATGCAAATATTGAATTAACTTTGTTTGCTTCATTTAATAAGAATCTCGGTCGAGTAAATCTTCATGTTACATGGAATTTATTCGAAAGATTGTTTTTCAACGTTTCATCTCTCTCATATCAAGGATTACGATGAAATCTTGGTGATATTGCACACGCTTTTGTATAAAATTATCCCGATTATTTGATTAACGAATTACGTTGATCTTAATAATAATCTTTCTTCGATATTTTATTTATTATCACGAAGAAATAAAAAATTATGAAGATGACTCGATTACAGATCACAGTGAATTGAAGAATAATAGAAGAATAACTTTATTAAAATTGGCCTCCATCCTTTTTTAAATTAATAAATTTAATTTAAAATAGTTAATCATTTGTAAACAATTTCTTGCAGAAAAGAATGAAATTCTTACGAAACAAAAAATTTCTACGTCTAATAACCATATGAACAAATAATGCACGAATACATAATGCATAAAAGCGACAACAACAACAACAACAACAACAACAACGCGAAATCTCGAAATTTATTCCTTGCTCTGGATAAAGAAAATTTGATTCCTGTCGATTACCGATCCGATGTAAACACTCGAAGAAAAAGGAGGCGTGCTGGCCACGAGAATAGTACGAGTATCATCGTGCACAAGGATGCCACGAATAACCGAGAAAAGATAACATAAAAACACAATATTGCCCCGCGAATGTAAGTTGGATTGCTTACAAATTGGCCCATACATCCGTAATGCCTCGATCACTGTACCGTGTGGCTCCCTTATTGCGAGTCACTTCGTAATTTCCATCCACGAGTGGGGGGCAGATGCGTATGGGAATCGCTGCAGGAAACGTCCTGGCCTTATTAGTCCTTCACATTAATTTTCTTTCGTTCGAGATAGATGAAACGCTTGGAGGGAATCTATCGAGTCCATGCGTCGATTATTCACGACGATCTCCGATATTAAATTCTGAATTCGAATATCTCCCACTCCTCTCGCGAGTTGTTTGTTCCAGTCAAATCTTTAGTTCGCGTTCTTTGATTTAATTTGAGATTTTTCAGTCGTGGATATATACGAGATCGATTTCGAAAGTTTCTGGAAGGATCATCTTCATATAATCGAATCTTTAATTTTGGATTTTAATTTTAATCCTCAACACTTTCGTTATTTCTTTTTATTTCACTCCACTCGTATTCTTGTCAGAATCGAAAAACTTTCAAATTGTCAGGTTTATCGATACATAAGCCCCCCCGTCTCTAATTTCATATTTTCTAATTTTTCCTCGATCAACGAATTCTTCGTCACCAACGAACACGATTCACGAAACACGATCGACTTTTCTCCGACCACGTTTTCCCACCGTGCGATACAAACGACGATACACAAAACACACATACACGGAGGAAGAGGGCATACACGCGAAGATATCCCGAGGCGGTTTCCTTGTTAGGACATCCGTGCTGTCAAAACGTCCACAGGACACATCGAAGCAATTGAATTACGATCATCCCCAGGGCGAGCTCCGACCGTAACCAATAATTCCATTATCCATTAGTATTGGGTCGCGGCAATTTCCTTCCACGACCGAGGTAACGGACGCGCGTACGTGTGCCGGTTGGATCCATCGGGAAACGCGGAATACACAGGCGGATCAGGGAACCACGGATGGATCTTTGCCACACGTCTCCTCGAATATCGAGAAGACACGCACGAGATCTGTGCTGGATATCGATAATGGAACCACGAGCCTCGATGAGATCGAGACGTCGTGGGCCAAGAAACGTCTCGTTCTTCCAAGATTCGACGATTGTTAGTCTTGAAAATCTCGATTTCCGTTGTATCTCGGGTATATTGGTAGTTTGGAATCGGAGGAGGGGAGAGGGATGTAACTTGTTGTGATTATTTATTGGTTCTCGAGTATTAATTTTTCTTTCTTTTTTTTTTGTGGAGTTGTCGGTGTACGAACGAGTGGCAAGTTTTTGAATTCGGTTAATCGAGTTTAAGTTGAACGATTTTATTTTTTGATTCTAAGAATTTGTATATAGAGTTTATAGAATGCGTTCAGAAGTCTTTTTTGTTGCTTTCGTATGCCACGTGAACTATAATCATTTAGAAATACGTATATTTAGATGTATATTAAATTCTTACAATTACAGAAACAATATTTGCTGATTATAGAAGAATCTCTATAAAAGATTGTGTTATTAAAAAATTGTAATACGTGCATCTTTTAAACTATTATTTTTAAAATTACAAATATTCGATGAAGATACTTGGATCCCTTCCAATGAACTCTATTTAATTATTCAAAATAATAAAATAACCATCTATACAATTAAACTTTCACCACCAATTTCAACCTCTTCAATAAACAATCTCCACCAAAATATTTTTAAACGATTCTGATGAAGACACGATCGATATTCTCCAACTTCGAACAAGTTTCTTCTTTAAAAAAAAGAAGCCAAATAATTTCTTCTCGTCAGTTATGGTTGTTTACCTTTGTGCGCCATTACGCGTCCTTCCATGGCGACAATTTCCATGGTGTGGAATACCTCTTCGCTAACCATCATCCACTTAACCGATAACACACTTGTGCACACAATCGCGACTCTCAAATCGGCGGCGCATAGCCGATCCTTCTTCCTCCCATCGATAATTAATTAATTAACCAACGTACGGCGATCAAGGTGGAGGAAGACCTGGTTTCTCGCATGCTCGGATGCTGACTGGTGTATCAGACCGCGCCTAGGGCCTGCCAAGGGCCCCGAGGACAGGATATCAAAAGAATAGAAAGGACCTACCAACATATCCTTCGGTGGAGGGGATAATTTTTATACGAAATCCCCACTTTTTCCCTCTCTCTTCGTCGCTCTATCTCTCCCTTTTTCCTTTCACCTCACCAGGAAACCCCTTCGTCCTTTCGACTTTCTTCCATCGGTGAAGAGTTTTTAACCCCTGGACCCTGACCCAGTCGAGAACTACCCCACAAAGGAGATAAAATGGCGCGGCTATATCGTTTTTTTTTTTTCCTTCCCTACATCCAAGACCCTTTCCTCTGCGTACGTGGACCAGATGATGAAGAAAAAAGGGAAAAAAAAAAGAGAAAAAAATCGGACCCGTTTGCTGATCATGCGCGTCGAAGAAATCTCGTTTTGTGAGACCTCCTCGACCCGCCTATTTTTATGGAAGAAAGCTTTTCTTCTATATCTCGCCCCGATGATCATTTTCCCTTTCAAAAATTTTTCTTTCGGGACACTCGAAATCGGATGGAAACGGGAGAGAACATAACGGCCACTTGTTTTCGAATAGAATTGGGGTCATAGGTGTAGCGACGGGACTTTGCCTGAGCACGGGACAGAGGAAGTGGGAGGAATTTAGTACGATGCTTGTGTTTCGTGGAATATTGAAAAATCGAAATTTGAAGGAAATTTATTCTTTGAATTACTTACAATTCATTCGGTTTAACGCGATAACGGATGGATAAATATTCTTGTATCAACGTACGGTTCCAAATCGAAGATTTTCTTATTCTTCGGTTATGAATCAATTTATGAAAAAATATTTCGTAACACATTTACATTTGTGTCCCGATATTACGAATATACAATTTAATCTACCATCTACAGAATGTTCGTCACGGAGTTATTCCGCGAATAACGGATAATAATCAGCGTTGCCCTGTTTCAACAAAATGTTGAAACGAAACTTCGAGAATCGCATCAAATAGAATAATCGTAATTAGTATATCCAACTTATTAACAAAATTTATTAATTTCACCACGTTGTACTATTATAAAATTTCCTAATAAATCATTTCAATTTTGCAAAAAAAAAAAAATACATTCGCGCAATAGCACGCAAGGAAATAGCACCCAAGTTGAAAAATAAAAATCTCAAATCTCTAGAAACGTTCGATCTCGGTCCACCCACGCTCCATCCGTGCCATCCGCATTGTCCTCACCGACCACGCTATCTAATCTCCACTCGATCTGCTCGAAAGCTCGAACCAAGTCCTCCGGAAACGCGGCGTTTCTCACGTGTCACGGAACCGCTTTTCCCTCTGACCGACGATCAGATATACCTCGTTCGCGAACAGGAGGAGGCCTCTTCCTAACTCTTCCCATGCATGGAGTGAATCGCGGAAACCAAGGTGGACCGACCAAGGACAGCCAGTGAGCGAGGGACGCGGGTGAGCGAGGAGAAGAGAGGCAGGCAGAGGTGAAGCAATTTCGAGCGGAATCGTGAAAACGGATTGGCCAGTTTGGGAAACGGCCCAGGAATTCACAGAAGACAGAGAGCGAGGCTGGCTAGAAAACTTGGCTCTCCATCCGTGTTCCGCGGTCGGCCACCCGGTTATGAGAAATATGAAATCTGGTTCTCACGGGTTGTGAATGGGTACACCGCGCTATGTGTGTATATATATATGTGTGTATATATATATATATTTCTCTCTCGTTCTCCGGCCCGGTTTCCCACTCGGGTTTATATCCTTCTCTGTATATCGTCGCTCCACATGCGTATCGTGGGAGGATCTCGGGGGTCCTTTGTCCGTGCGTGCAGCAGGACATTGTCCATTGAAGAAACGGGCAAACAGGTCCTGGAGGAGCTGACCTGTACCCTTTTCAATCGTACCCTCCTTCTTTTCATGGAAAAACCCCTTTCCTCGTTTTTTCGTCAAAATAAATCATGTGGGTACAGTTAGCCAGCTGGCAACTCCTTCGACGCGTACTGGACTCGATTGGAATATGCTTCTGTCGCTGTTTCTGATCCCTCTGGCGGGATCTCCGTGAATGACACGTTCACGCACGCCTTTCAGTAAATTTTCAATAACTTTGTGCTGTGAGAAACTCACGTCTCGTTTTCCACGCTTCGGCTTCGTCGACGTGGACCAATTACGCTGCACTTTTCGGATATCAAAGGGGAAAAAAGTTGCTTGATAGGCAAGAAAGAAAGCTGTTGGAACAGGTTGCATATCGTTATTACTAGAAAGAAATAATAAAAAAGAAGAAAAGAATCGTTATTCTAGGAAAAATGGGGAAAGGGGGTACGATTGTCAGCTCTTTTCGCGTAACGAGGAATTTCGGATTGGACCGGAATTCGGGTGGAAATAAAACGGTGAGAAACGAGGAGATCGCGACGAGATATACCGGTGGAGCCTTTTGTATTGTCCGGTATCGCGACCGATTTTCATCGTCCCTTTCTTTCGCGCCGTGCTTCTCTCGTTCCTTCGTCTCGAATGTGTTTCCAACGATGGCTTCCCTCTCTCTCTCGACGTTGCAGAGGGCAGCAGCGGTTAATTAGAAAGTTGTGCGGCAAAGAAAGGAAAGAGAGGAGGGTGCACGCGGCGGGTTCGTCGTTACATTATTCAAAACGTCCCTCCCGTGAAACTCGTGCCGCAAAACATCCGAATGCAAACTTTTGACAACGCGCGAACGCGCCAAGTGCCGAAGCATGTCACGCGAAATAATTAACGATCGCGCGAGGCGAATTTTCTCGAGCGAGAATTAACCGAGGCGAGTCGAGGCAGGCGCTGGCTCGTAGCATGGTTTTGGATACGGTTGGACCAGGGAACGTAGCACGTGGACCACGTTTGTTGTCGTCTCGTTGTTTCCCGAATTCGAGCTTCCCAGTTTCCGAAAATTTTACATAGAATACTCGTGCTACTAATACGTGCGTGTGTATACATAAGGCGTGATTGTTTAACGTGAAAACATTGGAATTGGAGAGAACTCTGAGAGAGAGACTTTTGATAATTGTGATATGAATCACTTCTGATCAAATTGTTTTCTACGATTGGTGATAGATTTGCGCGGAGAGGATTCTAATTACGTATGCGTATTGTAATTGTAATTTTTGTTAAGAGTCAGTTTTTATTTGTGCATCGTGACGATTGATTTTCATTAATTTGAAAAACAGGAAAACGTTTTAACTATAATTTGTAATAGATGATATATAATTGTAAATTAATATCAAGAGGATTTATTACATCGTAAACTTAAAGTGATTATATTGGAAAGTTAAGAGTTTACCAAGTTGAATAGAAAATAAAGAATTCTGGTAATCATGAATCAAGCTTATGATATAATAATCATTGCTGTTACACGAAGTACATCGTATATCATATTTTAAATAAAACGTAAAGTTTGGAACAAGAAAAGGCACTCAGCATATTCTTGACTGGCAAAGTGAAAATTATGAATATTCATGGCTCTCTAAGAAAGATGATATTAAATCTTTCTCCAGATTTTCGTACAGAAATATATATTATTATTAGGAAATATTAGAACAATTTAACGCGAATAATAAAATTAATCGAAGAGATTACCGATCATTTTAAAAAATCTTTAAATTCTTCTCAACGAAAAATATCTCGCCTATAATTAATTACATCTCGGAAGAAATTAGATTCAATTATAAAATCACGAAATTGAAGAAGAATCATCAATCAAGAATCAAACTAATCGTTCTACTATCGTCACATCTGTATCAAGAGGAACAGGCTTCCAGGCTTCGCGACGACGAGTTGAAGGAAAAAAAAACCTGACCCCCAGATTCCTTTTTTTTTTTCTCTTCACCTGGCCCGCTCTCTAGCCCCCCGCGGATCGGCCACGCAATTGGTCCAGCCCAGCGGCGCTCCATGAATTATCTCGAACCCGATCCCACTCTACCGGTTCGAACACAGAGGCCCTGATTTTTTCGCGAGAAAAAAACCATCCTGCTGGGCAATTTTGTCGTGGCCGGCCAATTGGAAAGCGGCACGCGAAAACGGGCACGCCACTGGTCGATACAGCAGCCGACCATCGAGAGCCGGTTCCACGTCTTCTTATTCGACTTCCGGATAGACCGATTCAATGGCCGGACATGACTTGGAATCGCTCGTTCTTTCGCTCGTGTTGTCCCATTGTCGAGAAGGATTTCTCTATCACCGTTTTTCTTTTCTTTTTTTTCTTAACGAATTGGAATCTTGAAAAGCGTGCCAAAGCTGTAAATAACCGGATATCGGTTTATAGATAATGATAGTGATATTTAATGATTAGAGAAAACAATAAACATTGTTTTCTCTCGTTGAGTTAATTGAGATCGATATTTAAAATTATCCGCCGTCTGGAATCGACGTGGATCCATGTCAAATATCCTGCTAGATATCCGAAAACCGCGTCTCGAATCGCTGTTTCCTTTTCCCGTGTCCGCTTTGACGAAGGACAGGAAGTCGAGAGGTGAGATTTACGTAAGCGGATGGACGATTGTTCAGCTAAGACACGTTTTTGTACGGTTAAAATGCGTTGAATGGATACGTGTTTTAAGTGTTTTAACATGGCCCACTTCCGGAGAAGAGAGAAAGAAGGGGGAAAGAAAGAGGCCTAAGAAGATTCGTATGATAAAATTTAGAAGAAAGAAAAGAAAAATTCTTCAATTATATTTAATTGAAAGGAAGATTGATATGTCTATCATGTATCTAATGGTGAATATTTATAATCCACGTTGTTAAGAATAAACGCTTAAATCGAGAACCATTATTTTCCAGAGCAAGATTATATAATTGTCTTTATTAACCACTCGATACGAAACGTATATCTATCTCGATAGATTCAATTTAATCTTTCGCACACATTGATATTCTACCATGTTCCAAAACCTCCCTTAAATAGAACTCACAAAAGCGTATTTCTAAATCAATATTTATAAGAATAGATTTATAAGAATAGAGTAGAGATAACGCGTGGAAGAACAATAGAGTTATTTCAAAACCATCTTCCAAAACAACTTCCCCTGGTGCTGTAGAAACGATACCCCATTCTGCCATAAACATTTCAACAAACCATTGATCAAATCACTGATCGTTCCCTCAACTTTTCCTCCATTTCTAAAATTAATCAATTAAAATTAATCGTTGTTAAACCTTAATCACACTAAAGATATTGGATTCCAATCATGCAAATCAGGCAAATCTACACCATTGTCCCAAGTGTGAAAATAATGAGGACTTATGAATCGTCATAAATGGCAAAACGCACAGACGTAATTTGTCTCATCTATGTTACGTCTCGCACAGTTCTGCTCTCGTCTATTTAATCACACGCTGTCAAGTGGCTATGTTCGGTTGGTCGTCCAACTTCCCAAACGAGTAACCGTCTCGTTGCGTTCCAAGCTTGTGACGACTCGAGTCATAACCGGCGGAAAATCTAAAAACGTGACTCCACCCTGTTCCCCTGAACTTGGCGCTCCTATTTATAGATGGGTCTAACCGGCGTGTGTACGCGCCACGTGGTTTACATACGTGCGCGTTCTCCTGCAATATTGAACTATAACGGGTGATCGACACAGAGAAAACG